CCCCGCCCCGCCCTCCTCGTAACTCGAACAGCACAAGTCAGTGAAATGGCGGTATCGAAGCAGAGGGTGAGATTGTTGGTAAAAGTTCAGGAACAACGATTCGGCATTCGGGAGGGATCATTAAATACAAGATGCCGTGTAGTGAACCGTATTTCCATTAAATTCAAACTTTGTATAAATTTCGAGACACCCATACTTCCATCTAGAGTCCTCGGCTCGGCTCACTGAATGCGATTTCGTCCAAGGAAAGTTGGAGGGGGGGGGGTCAGTTAATGCACAGGATTGTATTTTCCTTCGACTTACCGCTCCCAGATTGATAAGAGGCCCGATAAGCTGGACGGAAACGGATCCAGTACGTCTCACTCGGCAAGCTAGGCTAGGAGGCGCTTGGCAAGCGTGGCAAAGCTATCACAGTATAACGTCAGGATGGGTGAAATGGCGGTGTCAGTACGTCCCCTCCCCTAGAAAAAAATCCCTGTCCGGTAACATCACCATTTCCGCCCTACCTGCGGAGTCTTCCAATCCCCTACATCCCAAGAACCCTCTCCAGTATTTTCTGAAGAACGGGTAAAGCGCAGGCGGGGAGTCGCCGATGAGATCGTCCTAACAATGCTGTCAAGGGACGTTGTGCGTCGAGGATTCCGAGCCAGGGGTGGAGGGGGTCGCCTCTGCTTTTGGTAAAAAGTCAACATTTCCCGTTTTCGGGAAAACTTGGGGAAAAGCGGTGGAAAGTTTGGAAGAATTTAGGATCAATAAGGAATATAGTAGGTAGGGGATGGGAAAGGGGGTCGCTTCAGCATAATTTTCCCTCAACGCAGGACGCACTCCGAATGCTGTAGCCTGATCGCTGCACCCTGTCCTCTCAAGCCTGAACAGAAGAAGCTGCATAGAAGCAGACACTGAGTTATGGCCGGCCCAGAGAAGGAGGTGCCAAAGGGCTACTGACGAGACACCGAGAGAACGTCACTGTATTTGGCCAGACGGGTACTCTTTTTGGTTGTGGCTACAGCACACAACCAAAAGGTGTACCTGCACCTTTATGATGGTATCACTTTCACTGCGGTAACGTCATCTTCGCTCTTTGTTCGACATTCCCTTCTATTAATAGAGCTGTTATTGAATGTGAACGACGCTTTAGCGGCGAACCTAGAGTGGTCCTTAGGCAACTAGTTTAATCACAAAGTCATCACTTACATTCTGTGACGCTTGATTTCCGCAGCCGTCGTGACATCATCTCAAACTTTTATAGACCCCACTGGATGAGATTCACGGGCTTGAAATTTATCAGTACAAGTAAGCTCTTCGTAAGGTGGCACCATCCATCTGGACAGTTTTAAATACGGAGACGACAGACAAGCTTATGGGAAATGACCGTAGTATCAGGAGATTTAGATGCTTAGATTCGGCATCTCCAGTTGAGCGGGCATGGGAGGTATTCCATGCCTTCACACTCACAGGAATCGCTCCGATGAGGTCAGTATTTCATTCCGCGAAGGTACAGTCCTCATCATTGCGGACCGGTGGGGCGTGTCAGCCAGAAGGAGTGGGCACACTGTTGAAGCCGTTCTCAGCCATTTTTGTTGCAACGCGTATGCGACAAAAAGTGGTAGAAAAGGAGTAATACGAAGGGGTTTACATGTAATGCAGCTATGCCCCGCTTCAAAGCCCCTCTTGGCGCAGACGATTTTGCCAAACGGCACCAAACAACAAGCCGTAACTGCCACGACCCCACCAGTCCGCCATGATGCAGGACTGTACTCTCGAACTGACGGGGAACAAAACATAACGAACAAGAGGAGTGGGGTGTGGACTCATCGGTGCTGCGGTTGAAGCACTAGCCTGGCAAGCGCGAGGAGTGTGCTGTGATATCGTGCCAAGGCTCTGTCAACCTTATGTTCCCGCTCCGAGGGTTCTGAGACATTTTTAACGAGATATTCTGGCTGAGCATTCGAAGGGAAGGCAATAAGGAAGAGAGAACAGAGAACGGCGAAAAGAAAAAGAAGATAGGAGGAGGAAAAAATTAGGAGCGCTGAAATTTGTGGTTAGCGGATATCCTTAGGCTTCATGTGTTTGCGCGTTTGACGTTCGCGTATAAGGCCATCGCTCTCCCATGGAAAAGACTGCTCATCGACTCGCTCCCCTACTGGTCAAGCTACGGCTTTTGATGGATCTTGGTACCCCATATTGTCTTTTGAGCCTAAAATTTCGCCTATTTCGCTCTCATGGTAGTGCTGTTCACGTGACAAGGGCACACCGCAGAATCGTCCACTCACGGCTGCAGCAGCTCAAACAGAAGGCGTTAATTTTTCTGTCAATAACAAAATTGTTAGGACGTTGTACCATTGTTTCAGATAATAACACCGTCTCTGTGGGCGGCTGAAGTTTTGCTCACACTGTTTAGGTCCTTCTTCAGCGTCTTCAGAACGTTTGCACTTCGTACCAGGCTCTTCTTTAAACATCTGCCGAGCACGTGAAATTCCACCCCTGCACATTCCCCATTCTAATTTTGAACAGCGTTAAATCGTCGGTCACTGAGCAGGAAAATTTTCCTCCGTGACCTGTGCGAAGAGAAATTCAATTGACCTGTAGCGGTACCACAAGCGTCTGCGCTTGGAGGAGGTTAAGCTGAGAATGAAGTTCGGAAGATTCTGTGGGCCCGGCAGGTCTCAATAACCAGTTGTTCTCGAATGGGGTGAGGAGGTAAGGTTCGCGCTGGTCTTATGGGCGGAAAGAGACCTGATATTGTATCTTCCTCATTATTGCACCCCTCGCACTGAGGCAATTTAGAGGTCTGGCGCAACAATGAAGAAGGCAGAATGATTGACGTCTCCGCCCATACGACCATCGTGGACTGAGCCGAAGAGTGAGCTCTACAATACCGTTCTGCAATCCTTGTGAACCCTAAGCATCATGGTGCACCCTGAGCGCCCTGAGCCCTCGATGGCTGATAGTACAGATCATAAGGTGTGGCCAACAGAGAGCGTTCTGCCCTCCTTCGAAAAGTACACGGAATACGACCCTCACCCTCGAAATTTCTCCTCTGGCACGACTAACTTCCCCATCCTGTCTACCACCTTGCCAAACTCTTCTGGCTTCCTACCATTTCTCTCGGGGGTTTGCCAGAGATTTTCCACTTTTTCCTAAAAACACTTCGAGCACGGGAGGGAGGGAGAGGGGGGAACATGAAACGGGAACAGCCAAGAAAAGTGAACAACCGCCGGAAATCTCTCTCAAAGGTAAATACGACCCCGTCCCTCATCGTCAGCGTCCTCCACATACATACACCCTAGTAAAGATCTCTAACGTAGTTTGTGATCTCGTGGCCAAATTCCCTCGCACTGCAGGGACTTGGACCCTTATTTCTGAATTCAGCGGTTAACAACAAGCCAATTAAGGAAATCCTATACCTTAAAGTCCACTCCAGCCTGGTTAGAGGAAGCTTCATCGACCCACCAAAGAACGTTCCTGGTCGTTGTTTTCACGTGAATAAGCGCACGTCCACTTTTAAAGGTACTTGTTTTTATACCAGTCTACTCTACTCTAAGTAGCACTAGCTTGTTTTCTTACTCTCATCTCGTGACCACATATAAAAGTCGGGGGTGATCGGGAATCGCCGTCTGATGGCTCCCACTGCTTCATTCATTTTCAAATGGTATCGCATTACCCTACTAAATTTATCTGATGCTATTCATCTTGCACAATGCTTACCTTCCTATTCGCATCCTATGACTTTTGACAAGAAGATGGCCTAAAATTTCCTCTTTTTGTCAGATGAAGGTTATCCGACGCAATGTGCACATCCACCCCTCACGCAACTCCGCACATCGGAGCCAAAAAAACATTTCCGACCCATTTCAACGAAATGTCAAAACCGCTATGCCCGGAAAGTTTTCGAGAGCTACTTCCCCATTGATACCTTCATTTTCGACGCCGACGGTAAATGCACTGGACAATGTGGAATGAAGGCTTGAAGGTCCGAAATGTGGCTCTCGCACCAGAACTCAACCGAGCTGACGTTAGAATCCTGCAGTGAGCTGTGTCAGTTAAAGGCAGTTGTGCCGATTGGGTTTCCTACTTAGCCTAAAATGCTAGTAGGGCGCTATATAGTGGGGAAATGGCGAAAGAACGGAGTGAAACGGTCAAAATCCTGCGAAGAAAGAAGCTCTCCGTCAAGGACTTAGCGGTTTTGACGAGTTTTCCCACGTAGGCATCTACAAACGAAGATACGGCTGCATATGTGTACCCATGTATGCATGCAGCATCACGGCTTCATACCAATCCCTTCGCTTCATAATTTGCTTAGCAAATGAATGAATACGAGCGTCAGGAACGGTCGTCCATTTGTGGGCGGGCGGGCGTGGCGGGCGTTTGGGACGTAAAGTTGTGGCTTGATAGGGCCCTTATAAGGGCACCTTCCTCGGGGAAACCGCTATGCAGCGCCTGCCCAGGGTCGCGGAATTCTATCCTGCCAGGAGTATTGATCCTAGTCGTCTTGGGGGATTTATCGTGCCAACTGCCTTTAACCAGGAAACGTCGCGAGCGCTGATTAGGTCACTGCTGCTTTTCGGATCTCCTAAACCCCATGCAGGTGTTCTACCCGTGAAATAACACCCAGCTTTCCAGGTGTGCTGTGGCTGGGCGATGATGTGATCCCTGGATCGCCTCGACTTCTCGATTTTCTCATCAAAAAGAACAAAAGGGTGATTATCCTTACGAACAACGCCACAAAATCGCGAGCTGTCTATGCCAAAAAGCTTGCTAGGCTAGGGTTCAATCGCAAGCTGGATAAGGTCAGCTTAATTGTTACTACTGCTGATCCTGAAGTCAAGATGCTCTATTTCCCTATTTCAGAACTCTCTGGTCAATCCAGCTGCGGTCGTCGCTGACGCTTTAGATAGAGCAGGTCTAGCTAATAATAAGAAAGTGTATTTGATTGGAGCTCAAGGAGTCAGAGACGAAATGGATGATCTCGGTGAGTACGTTCTGGCCACTCGTGTCCTACAAGTAGAACACGTCTACGTTGGGTAATCCTTAGAGAAGGGGCGGATTGCACGGAAACCTTTCCTGGTTGCTGATTTTTCCCGTTTCATCGTCTCAGATACGCTAAACAGTACTATAGTTGACAGGCCGCAATCTAGCTACTATTCCTGATAGGTGGTCAAAAATGCCCACCCCCCCCGCCCCGCTGTTCGACAGAGTTGATCGTAAGCTTCGCTACTCAGCCGAGTAAAAGGGGAGGGGTGTCGTATATCCGAAAGTCTTCCCAACGCCAAAAGGTGCGGTGTCCACTAGAATGATCCTGATTGGGGCACACCAAGCCCTGAGAAACAGGTGCTACTCCCCCACCCGCTGCTTGCTCTCCAATGCCGTGCAACCTGCCCTACCGTAATACGCCTCCAGTGCTACCGCCGGATGGCCGAGGGCGTGGGTGTGTGCTTTGTTTGAATATGCGCACTGTTGCGTAGTTCCCCGCGCAATATTTTCCTTTTTTTTGAGACGCTGGTAGCCCAGTACTGGCTCGTACCCTTCACTCGCCTCACTCCTAAATAGCCGCTCGACGACAATTTTCCCCTCAAAACGACACGCACTCATCTCTCCACGACCACGCTCTCCACGCCTCACCTGAAGCTATGCAACCACGCCCGCTATCACACTGTCGCGGATCATGCGACGTCTACTTTTCCCCCCCTCTTCTTTCCAACTCTCTTCCACACCCCCGCCCCCTCTGTCGTCCGCATGGATGGCAGCGTTCCCCCCTGCTCCCCCTGCCTTTACTCCTGTCCCCACGCTTCGCCTTTCATGCCACAAACCTCCTTACGGGTTAATGCTACGAGCGACCCTCCCCCCATAGAGCCTTAAATTATCCACGCTCCAAACCGAGGTCCGCTAAGTGCCGACACCCTTTGGCAGCGCACAGGAAAGACCTCTGCCGCAGTAGGCTAGCCGTTAACAATATTGCCCACTTCCAACGCGTATCTCGCCCCAGTACTTATCGACCAATGGTCCAGACACCAGGACGACTCCGACCGGGAAGCGCCATTCCACCTGTGGTCGCACCACTCCCGATTCTCCGAAGAAGACGAGCGTTCTGTACGTTTCTCTTGGAGCACAACGTTCCAAGCCACCAAACCACGAGTCAAACATTCGACCTTCTTAGGTTCTTAGCTGCGTCAATCCCCTCTGTACTTGTCCTATTTAGGAGTTTTAGCCCATCGCGACGTTTGGGCAGCGCGTAGTTGTCTGCTTCGTGGTGGGTACGAGAAGCACTTCAACTACCACAAGCTGATGAAAGCTGCCAACTATCTCCAGTGCAGACACTGCCTATTCTTGGCTACAAATGAGGATGAGACATGTCCAGGACCAAATCCAGATGTAGTAACTCCCGATGCAGGTCTTCACTTTACCTCATACTCAAAATACTGGGTATAAACGAAACCCCGAATATTTCAGGTCCACTGGTAGCAGCTGTACGTTGTGCTTCTGGGAGAGAGCCAATCACTGTCGGAAAGCCGAACACCCCAGCTTTTGACTATATAAGAAGACGATGGAATATAAATCCCGAACGGACGATGATGATTGGCGACAGGTAGGAGGAAAGAGACTTCAGCTCTGAATAGACATTAGTGCTCAGTTTTCGTTTCAGGACCAACACCGACGTCAAGTTTGGCCGAGATCACGGACTGAAGACGCTGCTGGTGCTGTCCGGGTGCCACCAACTTGAAGACATCATGGAAAACTATAACAGTGACCAACTCGATATGGTCCCTGACTACTACATCACCTGTTTGGGAGCTTTACTATCACGTCGAGATCATGCGTGAAAACGGGGAATATTTATCTTGTGAATATTGATTGATAATTTATGTTTTTTTTTCTGCCAATCGCTGTGTGACGAGTTTTCCTTCTTTTTTTATGAGAACGAAGATTTGATTCTCTATGGTGTGTGACATTTATGTACAAGGGTGACAAGTAATACCTCTACGATAGCACTTGTAGCGGTAATCCTTCATAGCGCGCTATGAAGGGAAATGAAGGCTCAACGGCAAGCCCTTTATCATTAGCGCTACCCTTCTGCCTTGCCTTGTCGGGCTGCTCTTGTGCTCTCTTTGTAAAGCTGTGAGGCAAAAAATCTTAGTGGTAGAGTAGAGGTTGCTTTTTTTTGATCTGCCGCCTATTGTCGAGTATGCTGTACTAAAATAAACTTAGAGGCACGCTCCGCGTTCAAAAATGGTGATTTGCGCGGCTCATATAATGAATGACAAGATGGCGCACAACATTGAAAGTGAAGAAAAAAAGTTAGAC